TTTAGAATAACCGATAATGCCAAGTGTTGATAAGGATGTAAACCACTATTTGTGATTCACAGTATCTTTGGGAAAACTGTTCTGCATCTATAAAATTTGAACAAGTTCATACTCTACGACCCAGCAATTACATTCCTAGGTGAACACCCGACAGAAAATGATATGCATGCTAAAAGACATTCAAGAATGTTCAGCGTGATATCATTTGTAATAGCCTCTAACCGGAAACATTTCAAACTGTAAAGAATTGAATGAATAAACAAATTGTGTTGTATTTATACAATGGAAAAACACACAACAATGAGGAAGACACCTCTATACTCAACAACCTGGATGAATCTCAAAAACATAGTGTTGAGTCATATAACTGATATACAGAATATTACATGGTTTGTAATTCCATTTATATAAAATTCAAAAACCAAAAGAAGAATTATGTGGTGTTTGAATTTAGGGCAGTTTAATTTTTTGAAGATAGAGGGGATATGGCTTGTAAGGGACATGACATTGTTTTCTGTTGTTTCCTACTTTTGGGGTATTTTGTTTATTGTTCTTTTGTTTTGAGACAGGGTCTTGCCCTTTCTCCAAGGTTGCATTGCAGTGGCACAATCACAAATCACTGTAGCCTTGATCGGCCAGGCCCAGACTATTCTCCTGCCTCAGCCTCCTGAATAGATGAAACTACGGGTGTGTACTACCACGTCCAGATAATTTACATATATATTTTTTGTAGAGATGGGGCTTTGCTATGTTGCCCAGGCTGGTCTTGAACTCCTGGGCTCAAGGGATCTGCCCACCTCCACCTCCTAAGGTGCTGGGATTATAGGCATGAGCCACCACACCTAGCCTGGTGTTTTCTAGTGATGTTTAATTTATTCACCTAGTTGGCGTTTATATGGATGTGTTTGTTCCCTTTGCGGTAATCCAGTGAAATCTGCTTTTTATGATTTGTATGCTTTTCTGAGTGTATAATTCAATAAAAATGTTTATTGGAAAAACAGCTAAAAACATTAATGTATGAACAAAAGATATTACAGACTTTGCATTTTGGGAATATTATTGTACAGTATGGTATGAGTGGGCTCACAAGTTTAGTTGTTACACATATAGATAGAATTTTCTTTAAGAAAACCTGAAATGGGCCAAGCACAGTGATCCCAGCACTTTGGGAGGTTGATGGGGGTGGATTACGAGGTCCGGAGTTCAGACCAGCCTGACCAACATGGTGAAACCCCGTGTCTACTAAAATACAAAAAGAATTAGAGAGGTGTGGTGGTGTATGATTGTAGTTCCAGCTACTCCGGAGGCTGAGGCAGAGGAGTCACTTGAACCCAGAAGGCAAAGGTTGCAGTGAGTCGAGATCGTGCTACTGCACTCCAGCCTGGTGACAGAGCGAGACTCCATCTCAAAAAGAAAAAGAAAACCTGAAACAAAGAACCCCACTTACAAAAAAAGTAAACAAAGAGGAGTGTTATTTTACTACTGAATGCATTTTAAAGGAATTCTCTTTCTCTGTGCATTAAAATATATTTTTTCAATTGTTTTATTCCAATACTCAGGAAAAAATAAATTATGTAATTTACTTATTTATTTTTGAGACAGGGTCTCACTCCCGTTGCCCAGGCTGGAGTACAGTGGTGCAGTCATGGGTCACCTGACTTCCTTGACTTCCTGGGCTCAGGTGATTCTCCCACCTCAGCCTCCTGGGTAGCTTGGATTACAGGCATATGCTTGCTGGCTGATTTTTTGTATTTTTTTTTTAGTAGAGGCAGGGTTTCACCATGTTGTCCAGGCTGGCCTCAAACTCCTGAGGGTCAAGAGATCTTGCTCTCCTCCATTTCCCAAAGCGTTAAGATTGCAGGCATAAGCCAACACACCTAACTTCTATTATGTGATTTTAAAAAGCAAATTAAGTATTTCACCTTCTGTTTCACCTCTGTATCTTTTCCCTGCATATAATTCTTGTAAGACTCAAATGATGCTATCATCACCATCTTTACAGTCTTCATTATCCCATTACATTTGCATCATGCTTAACAGTAACAAAAAGCTTTCTCACTGATAGCACAAGTCTCAGAGGTAAAGAAGGCAGATATCAGTCTCACATTCCGCCTGGGCAAACAAACTCAAAGTGGCCAAGAGATTTTCCTAATATTCCACTGCTCATAGGAGGTGAAGCTGTGCCCTAGTCCAGCAATCTGTCTTCAGTAGTTCTTGAATCTTTCAGATTACTTGGTTGCAAGCTACAGAAACCAATTCTGATCATCCTAAGACAAGTAAAGAAAGAGAGAGAGAGAGAGAGAGAGAGAGAGAGAGAGAGAGAGAGAGAGAGAAATTGAGAAAGAAAGAAATTAAGAAAGAAGGAAAGAAAGAAAGAAAAGAAAGAAAGAAGAGAAACAGAGAGAAAGAGGAAGAACAAGAGAGAGGAAGGGGGGAAGCAGGGAGAGAAGTCAGAATATCTTGGACGCATACCAGGGGCTCAAGTATTAACAAGAGGCTGAAGCACATGTCTTGGAAAAGTGGCAGTTGCCAGGCAGCTGTAGAGACTTGGCAACAGAAATGATGATGTAGAAGCCATCTGGTCCTTGTGTTGCTGCTGGGATAACTCTGAAATCCAAAAATATGTTTTCCTTGCTCAGGATTCAAATTTCCAGGAAGGAGACCTGATGGGCTGGGTTTGACTTTTGTGCCACTCCCTGGCTATACTGAAAAGCCAGGTAGGATATGTGTCCCTTCTGTCCTGGGAGGGGGCAGTCAGGATTAGAGAATGTCTCAAAAGAGATATTACAGTGAAGGACTTCCCTCAAAGGAAGATCAGGGTGCTCATTGTGGTGAGTTGTTGGATGCCAGAGAGCTGAAAAACATGGCAAACCTTTTTATAATACTTGTCCATGCACTGGAGAATAGGCCAAATAGGTAATCATGATAGCAGCTGGAATCATGATCAATGTGAAAGTCTGAGATTCTGACGACACTTAGGGTTGAACCAATCCGTTAGTTCCTGGTGCCTTTGCAGCCCTTGTGGTTGCATGGAACTGTGTTACTTTAAAACAGGCCCCACACTTGGTTTCCAGACTGAGTTGATTCTCAGCCTTAACTAATAAGACTCAAAATAAGCCATGCCAATCATTCTAAAGACTCAACAATGTGGAAACAACAACAACAACAACAACAAAAAACGAACAACAACAACAAAAAACGAACAACAACAACAACAGAAAAGCTAAAGGGCATCTAAGAGGACATAAAATAGCAATCATCAACACAATAGCAAGCAGAGAAGTGGAGGCTGCTGCCCACTGTAGCAGCTGGAATACTTAACGCAAACAAGTAGAATTTTAAGGGAGTGCATTAGTTACTAGGGCTGCCGTAACAAAGAACCATGCACTGATTGGCTTAAACAGATCTTTACTGTCTTGCAATTCTGGAGGCTATACGCCCAGGGTCAAGGTGTCAGCAGGATTGGCACCTTCTGAGGGCTCTGAGGGAGAGTCTGCTCCATGCCTGTCTCTTGGTGGTTTGCTGGCAATCTTTGGTTTTCCTTGGCCTTTAGGTGCATCACTCCAAGCTCTGCCTTCATGCTCACATGATGTCCTGTCTGTGTGTGTTTCTCTCTGTGTCCAGATTTCCCTTTTGTGTAAGCATACAAGTCGTACTGGATTAAGGCCCAATCCTAATGACCTCATTTTAATTTGATTACCTTTAAAGACCCTATTAGCAGGTAAGGTCACATTCTAAGGTACTGGGGATTAGGCTTTAAACACATCTATTTGGAGGACACAGTTCAACCTATGAAAGGGTCAAAAGTCATACTTTTTAGTTTCCCGTTTTCTGGGGACCAACAGACATGTTCAACACTGTGTCATATGTAGGAACAACTCAGTTTGTGAGAAGGTCAGTGAGTTTACGATGCTCAAATGGCAATGCCAAGGCTGCCGATATTATGACCTGAAGTCTGACCTTATTAACTCTGCTAAGTTCCTAGTTTCATGTTTACTACAAAGTATAGTCTTTTCCTAGGAAAGTGTTGACTGTGACATATGTTGTTTACACACTTGTTTTATTTAGGGGTTTAATTTCTTTTATTTCAATCTTAATTTTCCAAAACGTATTGAGAATTTTGCTTTTATTAATAATTTTTGTACCCTTTAAATATGATATCACTGGTAAAGAGGTATTATAGGTTTAGAATTTAATGAAAACATTTGAACATTTATTAAACAATTTTTTTTTTTTTTGAGACAGAGTTTCACTCTTGTTACCCAGGCTGGAGTGCAATGGCGTGATCTCAGCTCACCGCAACCTCTGCCTCCTGGTTCAAGCAATTCTCCTGCCTCAGCATCCTGAGTAGCTGGGATTACAGGCAGGTGACACCATGCCCAGCAAATTTTTTGCATATATATATTTTTTAATAGAGATGGGGTTTCACCATGTTGACCAGGATGGTCTCGATTTCTTGACCTCATGATCCACCGGCCTCGGCCTCCCAAAGTGCTGAGATTACAGGCGTGAGCCACCACGCCCAGCTATTAAACAATTTTTATGTGCCAGGAAGATAATAAGATCTTTATACAGATTATCTCATTTAATTATCGAATGATTCTTATTTTACTAATGAGGAAGCTGAGGCTATGGAAGGTTTCCTGAATTTCTCAAGGTATCTTACAATGAGGGGAAAATTTGGACTCAGGCTGATTCTATAGTCTGGGTATCGCCACTATACATTATTGCTTAGGAAATAGTTTCCGTAATTTGAGATAATGCAAAAATTTGAATTTTGATACCTCATAAACCAGCATCTTTTTTATTCATAACTAAAATTATCTGAAATATTTGCTGTGTGGTAACAGCAATATTGTAATCAACTGTTCTGCGGTTCTGGAGCTGTCAGTGGGAGGAAGAGTGGAGGAGGAGTCAGGGGAAGAAGGAAGGAGGAGGGGCTGTACCAGGTCACCTTTGAATGTTCTCAGCACACACAGGACTGCAGGGCTGCTCTCCTTCCCAGCTCCTCCCAGAAACAGACAGGTGGGACAGAAGAAATCCTCAGTGTTGGAAGCTGACTGCTAAAAGCTGGCTAGAGAGAGCCAGGACACTCAGAACTTGGGGGAGAGTTTAAATATTATGTTGGAGAAAGACTCTGTGGGTATTCTCACTTGACTAGAAGAAGGATTACTTCTTCCTTGGACCCAGGTCAGCACTCCTTTGGGTTATGTGATGCAAGACGTTCGTGCTAAGAGATGAATTTGTCCCCACCTGGCGTGCACTGTGTGACATACGATTTCTGTTGAGTTAAAGGGGAAGACACAGCTGCTTCAAATAACAACATTTTGTCTTCTGTAGCTGGTAATAGACGAAAGAAACTTGCATTTTTTTTTTTCTTTTCAATGGAGAGAGTTGGGAGAGGGGAGGCGGGATACATTAAATTTGGCGAGCTTTAGTTTCTGAGTGCCTCAGGCTTTACCCTGGAAATACTTCCCATCAAGTATGCACAGGGGTACAAGAAGAAATTAATCTTGCCATCAGTAACACTTTGTGTTTGGACACTCTCTATGTCAAAAAGTGCCGGCTTCCAGGAGTTTTGGCTACTTTCTTAATTTTCTTTGCAACCCAGCAAATGTTTTCCCTCCTCTTCTAAAGGGAAGGTAATTTGCTCTTTTTGTTTTTCCCTGGATGTTTGTGAACACTGTGGCCTTTAGCAGGTTTTGGATAGACTTGAGAGCTATAAAACCAAATCCTTTGTTTCCTTTAGGAGTCTGCTGAGGTGTTCATAGCTTCCTCCCGTGTCAAACAGTAAAAGTGGTGTGATGATGACCAAGTTGGATGGTTAACGGAAGATCTTCAACATCAGGTACTGCCCAGCCGGCAAGGCATAGGCTTGTCTCATAGCAGCAGACAGTTTTTCCGTAGGCCAATAGCAAGGCTGAGAAATGGCCTGATGCAAAATAAGCCAGTCCTGACTGCACTCCAGCTCTGCCTACCAAGTCAGGGCCCAGAGGCCCCGAACACGCCCTCATTTCTGGCACCACAGAGCTGAGCTTCACAAAGTGCTCCCTGTTGGCTCTACATTTAGACCTCCCACAACTACATATAAAACAGAGGGAGATTAACATGCCATAGAAACTAAGCAAATAACTTAAGGGATAATATTTAAACATACTCCTATATCTAGATTTTGATCTTCCTTTATTCAATTTCATAGTAATGCAAATATAACAGCTTGAGATACTTTTAGTCCTGTGCAGTGTATATGCTAAAATAGTGTCTGGCTTTTCTAGATTTCAAGGTCTGAATCTTGTTTAGCTATCAATTAAATTAGCAGGGAGTTTGCCAAATAACTTACATGTGGAGAGGGTGTGGGGAAAACCCCACAGCTACACTGATTAGAGAGGGCATTATATGGTTAAGTGTTCATAAACTAAAACTGCGTTTTCTTCTTCTACTCAAGGGTCCCTTGGTGATCTTACGCATGTCCAAAGAGAAAAGTTTCACCACACTGACAACTAGAGATAGCATGAGACTTAATGAGTATTTCTTGCTAATTGTCAACCTTACATTTTAAATTAGATATGCCTCTATTCTTTTAGGCTAACAGAAAAGTGTTCTACATTTATGTTATGACATTCAAAAGGAAGCACTTTCAAGTTATTAGTTAGGAGGTGTTAGATATTTAGAGAATCACCAATTTTCCAGTAGATTATTTTATTATCTTTACATAATGACTTTATTTCAAAAAACAAAAAAAGGAAAAAGACGAGACTCCAGATATTTGAGTTACTTTTATGCTTACTTCTGAACTGAAACTATTGAAATGATTGTCTTTGCTATGAGTGCTACTAGGTAAGAAAGTTTAACTTCATTGTTTCTTCATTTTTCTTTGCAAAAATGGTATTTAGACTCTTACATGCTAACTGGTTACTTCAGATCCATCCTGGACACCCGTTAAATAGAAATAATATCAAAAGATTAGACATTCAGACTGGGTGCAGTGACTCATGCCTGTAATCCCAGCACTTTGGGAGGCTAAGGTGGGCAGATCACCTGAGGTTGGGAGTTTGAGACCAGCCTGGCCAACACGACGAAACCCTGTCTCTACTAAAAATGCAAAAATTACCCAGGTGTGGTGGTACACCCCTGTAATCCCAGCTGCTTGGGAGGCTGAGGTAGGAGAATTGCTTGAGCCTGAGAAGTGGAGTTTGCAGTGAGCCGAGATCGTGCCATTGCCCTCCAGCCTAAGAAACAGAGTAAGACTCTGTTTAAAAAAAAAAAAATACATATTCAGAAAATGACATTTGCTGAACTCTGGAAAATGAGAGCATTTTGAAGAGTTACAAGGGTGGGCTCCTTTTACTGCTCCTTTTCCTTCCTACTTGGTTTATATGCAAGTTGAGGAACTATATTACTCCACAAAGGGTGATAAAGAAAAAACAAAACAAAACAAAACACGCACAAGGAAGTGTTGGGAGAGAAATGCTTAACCGTGAAGTATGAGTAGGTACATGTTAGTAGTGTGCTGTTTGTTCTCTCTGCCCGGTCTCCTAACCCTCCCCTAACCCTTGCCCACTGGTAGAAGGCACCCTCTCTGTTTTTTAAGTGTTTCCTTCTGCTGCCCGAAAAAGCTTCTCTCTTAATAGTTTACGTGTCATCTCAAAAACAACCATTTCTAAGTTCCCAGCATTTTGATCCTTTCATTCCCTAAGCAAAAGTTCCCAATAATTTTACTAGTTTTGGGACCCACTGCGTGGAGGTGTTAACTATTGGGAAACCCCCTGTAGAGTGCATATGAGTTCTTAAAGAGAAATCTCACAGCTATAGCCTTTGGTACACATTACTTAACACCATTTGCCCTGGGCATGTTAGAGACAGGGAAATTGATGTCAGATTGGGAAATACTGCACAGATGCAATAAAGACCAATGTACTTTTTCCGGGAGTCCCCTATTTCTAGACTACAGAGGATAATTCAGTGCCTAGTTAAAAGGCTGAAAAGACACCAAGGAAACAATCTTCGGGGACTTTTCAGAGAACAGTTCCTTAGAAGCTCCCAGAAGACTAGCTACTAAATTATAAGGGTGTCATCAAAAATTTTGATCTCTGGCACTATATCTTTCAGAAATGCAGCTGTCTTAGCAGAGAGCTGCTGGGCACTTGGCAGCTATTTTATTTTATGTGCTGCCAAAGGTAAGAGTTTGCCTTTGCTAGTAATTATAAATTATAAACTAGCAGCCAAATGGGAGCAATTATGAAAAGTGACCAATGAGCCAGTTTTTATAAAGTTATCAAAACAAGTGAGGAAAATTATTTTTCTAATGAATAAACAAGTTTAATCTTATATGTGTGCCATTAAGAAAGCCAGTGATGGAATACATGAAGAACAAATGAGTCAGGCAGCAAACCATAAGCACTCAATCATGTACGGTATGACTCAACTCCAGTGTTTCCCTTCTTGGTTTAGGGAGATCAGGTTTCTTGAAGGAATTGTAAAAGCCAGATATATCAAAGGTAATATGCAAAGTCATTTAGGGGGACAATTGTATAGGAAGGGAGGTTGATATCATTATTATTCAGCATCTACTACTTACCAAGCACTATTTCTAGCACTTTGCATCTCTGATCTCAGATGCTAGTCTCAATAACTCTGTGAACATGGTATAATTGTCCTCATATTTCAGATGCTCATTGGGAAGGTGAAGTAAATGTTACAATGTCTCACAGACAGTAAGTTGACTTCAGAGTGTCCCTTCTGAAGTCTGATCCCAGTTCCAAAGCCCATGCTTCTCTCTGTTGCCTCTCATCTAGGTGACCATCAAGGGTATCCAATAAAGAGGAAATGACATCCTAGTAGGGCTGCCCAACCAATCTGTAAATGAATGGAAGGAAAATGCTGGCGACAGCAGGAGTCCTTAAATATTTTAGACACATGTGCCTGTTGAAATCAAAATAAAAATATAGAGAATAATTTCTAAATTTAACATTTTGTTTGGGATACAAGAATGGCAACGAGGGGCATACATACAGATAAGGTGGTCTTCAGTATGTCTGAAGAATAAAGAGAATGTTTGGAGTTTTATAAAAAAGAGAAATGTTATGTATTGTTTTTCTAGAAAGTTCTTTGGCACCAGTCAAGTTCTGGGGAGCTGGCAAGCTCTCAATGGTGAGTGATGGCAGTAGGTAAAACGAGTTGCAGCAGGTTTTCAGTAGCCACTAGATAAAACTGTTTTCAGGTTACAGCAGGCAATTTCAGCATCCAGGCTTGCAGAGAATTATATTCTGAGTGCTCTTATGTTCCCTGAATGCTTCTCCCCCTGGCTTCTTGACCGTTTTAGTTTGGTGTGACAAAAATGACCTAATTCACATCACTTATTGGATATATAATTTGCAAATGTCTTTTCCTATTGCGTAGGCTGTCTTTTCACTTTAATGAAGGGAACTCTTCATGTAGAAGGTGACATGTGGGGGCCGGGCGCGATGGCTCAAGCCTGTAATCCCAGCACGTTGGGAGGCCGAGGCGGGTGGATCACGAGGTCAAGAGATCGAGATCATCCTGGTCAACATGGTGAAACCCCATCTCTACTAAAAATACAAAAAATTAGCTGGGCATGGTGGCACGTGCCTGTAATCCCAGCTACTCAGGAGGCTGAGGCAGGAGAATTGCCTGAACCCAGGAGGCGGAGGTTGCGGTGAGCCGAGATCGCGCCATTGCACTCCAGCCTGGGTAACAAGAGAAAAACTCCGTCTCAAAAAAAAAAAAAAAAAAAAAAAAAGAAGGTGACATGTGGGCTAGCTCTTGAAATGAATGGCAAAAATAGAATAAAGCTAAAAACTACTAAAATAAGAATATGCGTTATAATATGTATGATAAACAGATTGTGTAATTAGGGCTGTGGCTCAACTATCTGTGCTGTGTATATATATATTTTTTTATTTTTTTATTTTTTATTTTACAGCTTTACCTGATGTTCTTTTTCTTTTCTTTTCTTTTCTTTTTTTTTTTTTTTTTTGGCTTGTAGTTCTTTTTTTTTTTTTTTTTTTTTGCAGATCTATGACAACTTTCTGTGTTTCAAATGTTACTGCTTAAGCTGCTCCCTAGAGGCAAATTAAAGAAGAGCAGCAATCTTTTCTTACTTCCTATATTGATAAATTCCCCTGATGAATCGTTTGCCAATTATCCATAAATACATTGGTAGGTATTTAAGTATAAGCAGAATAGAAACTGTATTTTCTAGGACTTACTGGTAATAACATTCAGATAAGTAAATGTAATGTGGAAAATTTACAAAACTTGCTTTCCTCTGTAAAACTTGGAATGCATAGGCATAGAATGTCATTTTCTGTCTTAAAAGTGAAAAGAAGACCATAAAGTTCTTCACAGAAACATAGACACACACAGACACATTGGCTAACACAGCAAAGACAAACTAGAACTCCTAGTGATTTCACTGTGATTTCTAATAATTGTGTATGGCACAACATGAACTAAGATAATATATTAATGCCAAGTTAGAGGCAAATAAGTTTTTGACACTGGAAGTGGACAGTGTCATTACTGTTTAAGATAAAAATGAAAAAATGCTGTAATTAGGGACTGCAAGGCAATAAATGAGATGTGGTTATCTGAAAGAGGAAGTAAGAAAACATCTTGCTTCACTGTATGCCAGTGACCAAAGTGTGATTTATACAGACTACACTAAGTTAGGAAGGTGCCTTCCACGTGCAAGACGAAAAAACTAGGGGAAGAAAGGATATCCTGAAATATTCATGGAAGCTTCTCTGTTCTGCCAACCTGTGAGATAATGATAGGAGGTTATGAGGAAGAGAGCTTTTAAATTACTGTGGACTGTTTTTATTTTCCTCAAAATCCCTTAGGTGAACAAAGGAAATCAATATAAACAATGGAAATCTCTAGACATTTAGGAAATGGAAAACAATGTCCAGCAATAAGACTTGGACAGATCCAAATTGATAGAAAAGTGGTGGAAAATTCCATCACCTTTGACTATTTACCCCCTCTGAAAATACAGCAGAATGTCTACTGTTAACGTTGTCAGTAGGACACTGAATTGGAATGATTTAATCAGTCAAATACATGAGTCAGATTTTTACTCCCCATATCCAGGAGAAGCAGTTTCTCACCAGGGTTTTATCAATATGTAGAATCACCAGAAAGAGATATTTTCTGAGGTAGCCATAGAAAAGTCTTGAGTAGGGTCACTTATGGATACTTTAGTAGCTCTGGGTCATTAGGCTTAGCTGCTAGGCTGTTCTGTATAAGATCCTCAGAAGTTAGTAGGAATTAAAATAGAAAGTCAGACCTATAATGATCTGGAACAAGATTATATCCCCAGTTAAGACCACAGAATTGGTTTGTGGGTGACAGAGTTGAGCTGCTGGCTCTCAACCATGCAGATTAGGGACATACTAGAACTCTTTCTAGCTATTTTCAGAGCCCAGTTTTGGATGTGTCACACATGTCTTTACATAAACTTTTTATAAAATTTCATTTATATTTTGACTTGCCAATAATATTTGTTGAGATGGGGTTTCACTACATATCACAGAATTCTAGAATATCAATGACTTAAATAAGGTAGAATTTTATTGCTTTATTGTAAAGTCCAGAGGTGGGCAAGGCAGCGTGGAGGTAAAAGAACTGATCCATGGTGGGCCCAGGAACACAGCCTTGTCTCACACTGCCAGGCTACCTTCACACACGTGCACCCTTATATACATGGTATAGCTATAACATCTGTGTTCCAGGCAGAAGGCAGGAGGAAGAGATGAAGAGACAGGTGTGTCCTAGCTCATTCATAAATAATATTGAAGAATCTGCCAGAGGAAATTTCCATGTACATCTCATTGGTCAGAGCATAATCATACCACAAGGAAGGCTGGGAAATGGAGATTTGATTTACAAAATTATTTACCCAGCTAAAAAGTGGAGATTCAATTATTCCAAAATAAAGAGAGAACAAATATTGGGAGACAGACTATAGTATTCACAATACCACAATTTAGAAAAGTATTAGACTGAATTTTGTAACGAAATTCTGCCTTTTAGTTACTCCACATTTACCTGTTTTGAACTTCAGCACTGCCTTGTAGTTCTAATGTAACTGGTTTGATACTGATCAAGAAGTAACTAAAAGGTGGCTGAGATCTCTGGCTGTGGAAGTGAGAATTACATGGAGGTACACTTAATGGATTTTAATGAGGTGGTTTCCTTTTAATATTATACTCTTATTACAGAATACTTGTGTTCACTCCCTTTGTACTCATCCTGTGATTATCTACTTTAGTTATTTGAATTTTAACAAATTACCAAAAGTAACTACTTAGCAAACATTCTTTTCAGGCTGATTCTTAGACTTTTTTTTTGTCTGTGTTTACATGAGAGTGTCCCCATATTACTGTGAGCACTGTGGAGGCCCTCCGCTGCACCTTCTGAAGCGTGACCGTTTCTGCTTTGGCAAATGTAGAATTGAGTAAATAAACCTTGCCTCAATGGAGAGAGAGGCTTTGGGTTATCAAAACTCATCAATGGTCTGGTCTAATTATGGATCATTGACAGGATATAAGCTTCATGGCCAAAGAGATGGAAATGGATAATGCCATTTAAAATGTGGGAATATGGTGACAGGAAGAATAGATTATGAAACATCATCAATGTTTAAGAGAAATCTTGCTTCAGATGCCACTTAAAGTAGGCCAGTAGGCTAAGGAAGAATATAAATAAATACATATGGTCCATTGAAACCATATAAACATTAGAAATATATTTTAGTAGCAAAGTTAATCTTGAAAATGATCCATTCAAATCTTTTTATTTTATAGAAGAGGTTACTGAAATGCAGGAAAGTGAGCCAGGAGCAGTTATAAAATTAGCCATAAATCTCTTGAGAAAATAATTTCTATTGTTGTCATTATTGAATAACAGTCAAGTTTAGACACAAAGATTACAAAGATTATTACAAAAAAGATTTTGTAAGAGTCTCACAAAGAGTTGTTACTGCTAACAATTTTTCTCATAATAGCTTATTTATATTATTTTAAGTTAAATCTTGGAATAAATCACTAATCTCCTAAAATGAGGGGAAGGAATCATCTCCTCACATAAAAATGATGTGATTTGGAGAGTAAAACTGACATTTCAATATCATGTCTTATTCCTGCAAGCAAAAGCCAGTTGATACTTAAATATATGTGTCTAACTGCTTAAATGTAAATGCAAAAAACTCCACACAACTCAAGCTTGGAAACACAGAAGTAGCTATGAAGACTCTGCTGCCCATTGTTTATCTACTGCTGCTTGTTTACCAAGAGCAAATGTGAGTGTTCGTACATTAGATATGAGAATTCACATCAAACCAGTTGAAAAAAATTATGTATTTCCTATACTCTCAGCTTTTTGCAGCTTGGTGGGCAAGAATTAAAATTATATCAATAAAATCTAAAGAGGAAACCCACTAATCTGGCTATCAGGGTGGAGGCCAGGCCATTTATAAACCACCAATTACATGTTGTATTTAGTCCTGCATGTTTCTCCAAACACTTCTTCTTTTTAATGTATTCTTCCAACAGCGGGTTTTGGAAATATTTCATCTGTCTCTATTAATTAAGGAGCATTTATTTTTCATGCTTTGATTGGATAATGAAGAAAACAGTCACTATAATCTACTTAACAAGCAAGACTGTGGAAAACGTAACCACAAAGCTAAAAGATTTGCTGACCTTTTGTCATTTCTGCATCTCCCACAGAACGACCTTCTGCCTGAAAAGTTCATCCACAGAGTCAATATACCATTTCCTGTCATCACTTTGCATCCCTGATCAGCGTGCTAAGCAAAGAGCAGCTGTGACTCAGCCTGGTGCGCTGAAGAGATAGTTCCTGGTTCTTTTAAAGGGCACCTGTGTCCATTTTTCTGCTGTGGATATCCATCTTCCTTTAACATTCCTAAATTAAAATTGAAGGCTTTAGGAAGAGTGATTACTGTTATTACTATAAAGCGATATTAAAAAATAATAGCCTTTAAAATATATTAACACATTCTTGACAAATGTTACTGGGATGGGAAAACAAAGCAAACAAAAAGATATGAACAGAAGGGATTCTGTAGGATTTGTAGTTCGTCATTCATTCTCTTTCTCTTTCAGACCCTTTCTTTCTCCTCTCTCCTTTTTTTTCCTTCTTTCCCTACTCTTCCCTTCCCACCCGCCCCCCCCCGCCCCGCTCTCATCTCCTTTACTCTCCTCTCCAATACTGGTTACTGAAAATGTGTTACTTAATGATTTTGTAATGTCAGCATATGCTCTGGCAACCGCTCAAATACTTGAAAGGATTAATATGAAGGAACAGGCTGGCAACTTGCTGAATTCATTTAAAAGGTAACAAATGCTATGGAATAAACAGTTAAAAATGAGTGTCAGTTTTTTTTTTTTTTTTTTTTTTTTTAACATTTCTTACTTAACTGAAGACTGGTATCAAGTGAACTAATTCTTCAATGCAGAAGGGCCATCGTCATGCTGTTTTGTCCAAAGAAATGTTGAGTTCCTGGTTTTTGCAATAGTGGTATGCACAGCCTATTTCACTCTGTCTTGATATCCGTTTTCACAAAACCATCACAAGAACCCAGATATAATTCAAATCCAGTCTGTTCATTACACGCAGATTAAAATCAGTCATAAAACCAAATCTCTGGTTTTTAATATGGAAAACAATTTTAATTGACAAGTAAATATGATCTTTACTGATCAGATGCAACATATCCTTTTAGAATGAGTACAATGTAAAATGGCTAAATTAAGCTAATTAACATACTTGTTGTTTAAGGAGAATACTTAACATTTCTTGGTAATTTTCAAGACTGTAATATATTGGTATTAGCTATAGTCACCATGTTTTACAATAGATCTGTTGAACTTATTCCTCCTATCTAACTTAAACTTTGTGTCCTTTGACCAACATCTCAACTGCTTCCTCCCCTCCAGCTGCCTAGTTACTATCATTTTACTTCTTACTTGCATGAGTTCAACATTTTTAGGTTCCACATACAAGTGAGAACATGCAGTATTTTTCTGTACGTGGTTTATTTCACTTAACATAATATCTCCTAGATTTATCCATGTTGTCTTTTTTAATAGAGTGATGAGATGAAGTAGAGATAATAAGCATGTTTATTTGAAAAATAAACATACCTCATGCATATATCAACATAAAATTGCTATTAATGAGTTAATATTTTTACTGTAAAAAATCAAACAGCAAAAACATGAGTAAATTTTTGTAAAGGAGGAATATCTTTTTAGACTCAAGGCCATAAGCCATTTTAGAAAAGATTGTAAAATTCAAGTATATTAAAACAAGTCAAAACAAAAACTTCTGCATGGAGGTAAAAATATGATAAGCCAGCCGGGCGCGGTGGCTCAAGCCTGTAATCCCAGCACTTTGGGAGGCCGAGGCGGGTGGATCACGAGGTCGAGAGATCGAGACCATCCTGGTCAACATGGTGAAACCCCGTCTCTACTAAAAATACAAAAAATTAGCTAGACATGTTGGTGCGTGCCTGTAATCCCAGCTACTCAGGAGGCTGAGGCAGGAGAATTGCCTGAACCCAGGAGGCGGAGGTTGCGGTGAGCCGAGATCGCGCCATTGCACTCCAGCCTGGGTAACAAGCGGAAACTCCGTCTCAAAAAAAAAAAAGATAAGCCAATTCAAAGGACAGACAAATGACAAAGTGGGAAACATTATTTGTAACTCATATCACAAAGAAAAGGCTCACCTCCCTCTTGCATAAGCATCTTCTTCAAATAAATATTAGGTTGATGCAAAAGTAATTGCACTTTTTGCCATAGTTATAATGGCAAAAACTGCAATTACATTTTTTTCACCAACCTCATATTTAAGTTTACTTTTGCACCAACCTAAAAAGGCTCATGCTTGTAATCCCAGCAGGTTAGTAGGCCAAGGAGGTGGGCTAATTGTTTGAGCCCAGGAGTTCCAGACCAACCTGGGCAACATGCTGAAACCCCATCTCACAAAAATTACAAAAATTAGCCAGGCATGGTGGTGTGCACCTGTAATCTCACCTACGCAGGAGGCTGAGGTGAGGGGATCACTTGAACCCAGGAGGCAGAGCTTGCAGTGAGCCAAGATTGCACCTCTGCATTCCAGCCTAGGTAACAGAGCCAGACCTTGGCAATAAATAAATAAATAAAATGTCTGTTAAATACATAGGAAAAAATAGGCAAAGAATATGAACAGACAGTACAGCATAGACAATACAAATGGTCTTTAGCTTTACAAGAGGATGCTCACCTGCACTTGTAAAAAGGGAAATGCTGATTCAAGTAATACCATGCTTGTGGTTTCAAAACATAGCCCTAGAATTATTTGATGCTCTTTCCATTAGGAGGTGAAGTCTGTGTCTCTTTCCCTTGAATCTGAGTTCTGTAGCTTTGCAACCAAAAACATATAGCAGGGATATTACTGGGCCAATTTCTGAGCCAAGGCTTTAAGAAATACAGTTTTCACTTCCTCTGTCTCTTTCTCTTACAACCCAGCCACCATGCTTTGAGGAAGCACAAATCTCTCAGGAGGGAGGCCCATGTGGACAAAAACCAACAGCCAGTACTGACTTGCCATCCTGGAGGGAGGGCATTCAGCCTTAGTTGAGCTGCCCAGCTGGCACTGGATGGAGCTGTCCTCATCAAGCTTGGTGAAACTGAAGATTTGAAACTAGTTAAGTAAATGTTTTGTTTTAAGCCACTGTGAGCTGATTAAGGTGGCCTTTTAAAATATAGTGGTGATAACCAGAGCAACCATTTTTACTATTTTTCATTTTTAGAATGGCAAAAAATCCAGAAATTTGACAACTAGATTGTCAAGGCTTTATGGAAGCAGTTGGTTTTATACATTGCTAGGAGACAGGGAGATGAGATGGATTGAGGCAGCCATGGAAGCAATCATTTTCTGTAGTTCTTTTTTTTTTTAGTCTTTAGAATTTAGAACCATGTGAGTAAAATACCTCATTCACACAGTCTACCTTGAAAAAAAAAGTTAAAGTATATACCAATTAGCTATTTAGGAAATTTATATTTAACATGTGTATTGAATTATACAGTTTATAAGGTGATTTTACAAATATTGTCTCATTTTATTAATCATAAACAACCCTGTGAAGAATAAGTGAGGCAATTATTATAATTCTAAGTTACAACTGCAGAAACCAAAACCCTGAATTACTTAATGTGATCCATCAAGTAAATAGGCCAGAATTTAAACTGAGCTCTCCTGATACCAAATCCAATGATCTCACAGGAGACAGTTTCATTTAATGGAAAGCACACTATGATAGAAATGAGGAGATCCAGCTCCTATTTCAAACTTTTTCTTTGTCTCTTTAATATTACTGGATAAGATACTCAACTTCTCTTGCACTCAATTTCATCACCCAGAGACTAGACATGAAAATACGTATTGTTCTCACTTCTGAAGAGCATTATAGGGATAAAATAAAATAACAAATGTGAAGGTGTTTTGAAAAAGGAATTGCAAAGCTTTAAAATTATGAATTATAAATATAAAGATAAAAGAGAGCATGGCTCTGCTTAAAGATAGCAGACTGAGAATACAAATTTACAGTTAAGCAGATAGAGTTAAGAATACTCACCAACATGAGATGTAAAGAAATTTTGAGGAAATAGGAAGTAGATGCAGTATGAAAACTGGTTAAGTGGGAGAGAAGCAGGACTATGTAGCATAGACTAAGAAGAAACACAGCCAAAGAGGTTGCTGATCAGCTCCACAGATCTCTGGACTGTCTCAGGGTTTGGACATACCATGTGCATTGCTAGCACTCCAGCCCAAAAGTAAAGGTATCAGCGCCCCCCAGATAAAGCCAATTCCATTCAGGCATTTAGGTGTCTCCAGTGAAATGATCATTAGCCACTTTCAGAAGTGCAGTTGCTTGGAACTTTTATCCTTTCCCTAGAAGTTACTTGACTATGTGCTCCAGCAAAAAGAATGAGTGAAAGAAGAAAGAGGAAGATATAGTGCATGGAAGAGTAAAATTAATTTGCAAAATTAGTAAAGAAAAGTACAATGATGATGACTCTACAGTTGATCTAGAGAACCTGTCTAGAAGTCAGAATTAAGCCAGAGTTAAGAAGATCTGGGATGGAGATCCCAAGGAAATCAAGGGATCTACGAGATTTGATTTTATTCCTAAAATGACTTAAGGAGATGATGTAAACAAATAATGCAAAGAAATAAGAAAGCATTTTTGAACTATAAAAACACAGGAAATAAAATGCAGTCATGATATTCAACTGGATAGTGAACAACATTTACGTAATTATAAAAACGCAAATAAATACTTTATTGATTTTTAATGTTTAGAATCATGCCATGTGAAAGCATCAAATGGTATGTGTATAGGATGGCATGTAAATGATATTAGCCTTGAAATCTTATAGTACTAATACACATTTCAGAGGCTAGAAGGTGGAAAGGAGTGACAAAGGAGCTATCATCGTTATTTCATAAAGTGGGGAGAAGAACAATAAAGGTGAGCCACATTATCTAAAATTAAAATGTAATCAACAGAGAAGCACAGATATTGACGTAGCTGCACTGGAGAAAAGTGAAAGCTGTCACTAATGTATTAAGTAATTTGTTACTAGAGAAGAACATCTATAAATAATAAGAAAACTGGGAAATCTAGAACTAGCTGCATAAGATGATCATCTAGTAATAACAGCCATTTAAAAAGAAGTAACTACCAGAAGAAATGAATAAGTAAAGGGATTGTCTGTGGAGATGGGAATGGAGACAGAAGAGATTCATCAATAGCCTTTACTTTCTTTTAAGTGTAAGTATTTTGATATCTAATTGGATTTCTCAGTTAACAGAAGGATCATGTCTAGGAACGATATTTGAAATTTTACATTAGGTTTGGAGATGAGAATTATTGACATAACCCCAGTTATGGAGCACTCCTCTCTGCAAGTGTAAAGTGCTATGTGTTGTCTGAAAAACACTGCATGTGCTATCTTCCTCAGTACTAACCT